TGACACTTTTTATTTGTGCGACTTATCTGTGTCATATTATAATAATTTTTTAACTTACAACATATTACTACATTAAAAATAAATATATCAATTGATAAATAATTTTATTTTACTATTGAATTTTAATAAATTTTATTATTCTTTATTATTATAAAGATAAATATAATTTATTTATTTCATATATGCAATATGGATGTCAAATCGAAGATCATCAAAAGATGATTAACTTGATATTTAATATATGTAAAACTGATAAGAAATACAAAAGTTATCAACTTTTAAAATACATTTACAATTTAATAGCTAATTGAAGGAAACAAATCAAAGTCAGGAATATATTAGTCACTTAGTGACTCACTATATAAAATTACAAATAATTAAAGGGTTATATTACTACAAGTGATATTAAAATACCTAAGTTAGATAAATAATATTTATGGTATGTCCGAACCTAGATTATTAATTATTAATATAAATTTGTCCAAATCTAATTACGAAGCATGATTTTTCGCCAAGTAAGATTGCGAAGCACCAGAATCAGCGACGTAGGCTCAGTGCATTCGAGAATTATATATAGGGAGGATTTATGGAGGATTAGACTGTATCAATATTTAATATAACATCTATTATTCTCATAACAATGTTTTTTGTTTGATTTGAAATATTAATATGAATGGAAAAAATTCCGCAATTGTTAGGATATCTCAATTCAAAATCTAAATTTTTTAGCAAATAATCTCCAAATTAGTTAGCAAGAAAAATGGGATTCATATTGATGAAATGAATTAAATTTTGGCAATAGAATCTCTAAATTTGTTACCTTATGAATCTCCAATTTTTGTGGGATGAATCATTAAATGTAATTCCTAAAGAAAATAAGTTGTCTCAATCAAATAATTCATATATATTATTTCAATTAAAAGAATATAAACAACCAAAAAAACATAAAAGATGTAAAGATTTAGGTCATAAAATAATGTACTTTCTTATTATTTAAGAAAATCAAATCAATATATTTACACACAAATTTTATAAATATAAATAATTTATGGAGGATTAGAGTTATCAATATTTAGTATAACATTCATTATTCTAGAAACAATTTTTGTTTGATTTGCATCATTATTTTGAATTGAAAAAAATCTGTAATTGTTGGGATATCTCAATTCAAAATCTCAATTTTTCGACATAAAAATCTTCAAATTTTTTGCCAATAAAAATGGGATTCGTATTTATCAAATGGATTAAATGTTGGCAGAAGAATATGCAAATTTGTCACCTTAAAAATCTCCAATTTTTTTAGAATATCTCACTTAAATTTGTTTTTTAAGGAAAATAAGTTGTTTTAATCAAATAGTCAAATATTATTCCAATTAATGAATATAAACAACCAAAAAATAGAAAAGAAGTTAGGATTTAGGTCGTGAAATAATGTAATTTATTATTATTTAAGAAAAACAAATCAATATAAATACAGACAAAATTCATAAATATAAATAATTTATGGAGGATTGGAGTTTATCAATATTTAATATAACATCCATTATTCACTTTTTTGTTTGATTTGAAACATTAATGTGATTGGAAACAAATTCCTAATTGTTGGGATATCTCAATTCAAAATTTCAATTTTTGGCATAAAAATCTCCAAATTTGTTACCAATAAAAATGGAATTTGTATTTATAAAATTAATTAAATTTTGGTATAAGAATCTCTAAATATGTTACCTTAAAATCTCCAATTTTTTGGGATATCTCCCTTATTTAATTCCTAAAGATTCACATGTCGTTTTTTTCAAAATTTCCACTAACAGTAAGTCAACACTTTATTTTTTAAGACTATTTTTGTATTTTTTCAACAACCTCTTTATATTAATATAGATATAGATAGATATAGATTTCGAAATTTTAAAATTAATTAAAAAATATTTTAAATTTTATTTATTTTTTCTAGAAAATATATATTTTAGAATGATATTTGTTACTTTTGCGACTTACATGTATTATTATAATAATTTTTATAACTTATATCATATAACTACTTGTAATATAAATATATTAATTGATAAATAATTTTATTTTTTATTTAATATTAAAAAATTATTGTTATAAAGATAGATATAATCTATTTTTTTTTATGCATACAATATGGATGTTAAATTGAACCTCATTAAGAGATGTTTAATTTGATATATTATATATGTAAAACTGATAAAAAAAATACAAAAAGTTATTAACTTTTTTAAAATACCTTCAATTCAATAGTTATAATATTAAATGATATTAAAATGCAGTTAATAAATGTAATATGACAATAAACAATTAACATATTTTTGGATAATTCAGACCTAATTATTTTTGGATTGAAGGTAAATTAAAATTTATCAAGCCTAATAACGAAACATATAATTTTGTTATATAGGATCCTTGTTCATGGTCGTGCCATCAGCCTTCCCCCTCATTC